ACAAAAAATTCAACCTTATTTTAATGAAAGAACACAAGACAGAGAGATCCACGTTAAGAATCTTTTGCTCCTTTACTCATTACAACTTGTAGTCTCGGGCAAGTTTACTTAACCTCTGAATCTCACTTTTCTCATCTGTAAAACAGGGATAATATCTACGTCACAGGATTAATATGGGAACTAATGAGATAATAAATATAAAATATCTGGTACATTTTATGTGTTCAATAAATGGCAGCATCTTCTTTTTTCAAAATCTATTTAAAAAAAGAAAAAATACAATTATGATTGTTTAGCAGGAAAGTGGTTTACAAAATATTTATGGCAAGATGGTAGGATGGTATTTAAAGTAAGATACTCAAAAGAAAATATGATAGGAAGAAAAAAATCAGCAGGGACAATGTTAAGGATCAAAAAAGGCAAGATATTTAAGAAATGGGAGGCAGCCGTCAATGTAGAAGACATAAAAAGACACCACTCATTCAGTTAGGGCTTTGGCCTACCCTTAAGATTTTTCTATTTATGATCACCAAAACTTTCCTACGAGCCCTTCATTTCCAAGGCAAAATGCTTGTAAGAACCAGATTCTATTCCCAGTATACCCACTGGCTTGTTGGGAAACAATGGACACTCTTTGGTGCTGCAGTTTTTATTCCTATAAAGCCAAATAAGAAAATTCATAATGTATAATCTGATCAACTTACAGAAAGACCTCTGTTGACCATATAAACACTCAACATACATAAGCAGTGAGATCAGCCTAAGAATTTACAATGTTTTTTCCTTTTCTGAGTTTTAGGACATAAGAGAGAAAATTCTTCATACCCAAAATTAGAAGCTGTCATTACATAGTATATAGTCTCTAAAATATTACACTGATTGCTCTGGAAAGACAAGCTATGGATTCCTGAAAACAGTTCTGTCATCTCTGATCACATGAAAAATACAGTATATTAAACTGAAACATCAATACTTAGGAATTTTAGCCAGACAGAAAGTAAACAAGAATATTGTCAAAAGAAAAGACAAGGTGGAGAAACAGTCAAAACAATACACTTTATTACCTGTCACTTATTTAACACATGGAGAATATTAAACAAACACATAAATTATAGAGTCTGTTGATGATGCAAGAGTGTAGGTTACAATTTCATTTTCACCCCTTTTATGCCTTAAACTGTGTCACAGGTAACCTTCTATTATCAATAATGACAAGTGCAGAAATCATCATCAAATAGGACATGCAGAGTCACTAAATAAGGAAATCCTGGTTGCTTTATCCTAAAAGAAACTAAAATAACCTTTTAAAAATAGGAACTAAATGTCCCATGATAGAGGAATGGATTAGTAAACCATAGCACATCAACACAATGGATTATTAGCCATGAAAATAGCTATGAAGACTACAGATACACAAAGAACTGTGTATATAATTTGATAAATGTCAAAGCAAAATATGAAATGGTATGTAAATTATGATTGTAACAATGTAAAGTATATCATCGAATGCTGGAAGTTAATACATAGAAAAGACAATAGTTGTGTCTGAATTGGGATTATAAATTACGCTTTTTCATATTTGCTATGGATTACAATTATACAGTTTGACTTTTTAAAATCAGCTATTTGAATAAATGTGTCGCGTGTGAGTATACACATAAAAATAATACATTTCTCAATTACCTTTCTGTTGCGACGGCTCTGACGGCTGCGTCACCGAGGCCGCAGGCTCAGCTGGGTGGGGTGCCGCGGGAGGCATTCTTGCCGCTGCGGCTCCGGATAAAACAGCGGGTGCTCCCGGGCTGGACTTGGGAGGCAGGACATTTTGCACAACAGGACAGGATAAAGAGTCTGCAGCTGAAGACAAGAAACTATGTCATCCACAGCAAAGCACTTGAAATTTGTTAAAATATACTTACTAAACAAAATAATTTGAAATTCTTATAGAAACTTCAACAGTATCACATTTATCTAATATATCTAGGAAAGAAAGTGGTCCAAAGAAATGATTTTCAAAAAAACGAAAAAATTACTCATCAAATGCTTTAATAAATTTTAATGGCAATTTTCATAAAACATTCACAAGCTTCCTTACCTTCTTCAACAAAATGAACTCAAACGGCTTTTCTGTACTCTACTTTTCTGATCTCTACTACCATTAATTATTGTACTATGCAATGGTGTCTCAGGTAAGAAGATAGAATGGAGTTTATTTGACGCTGCAATAATGTGGTCTGAATTCCATAAATGTTTCTAGTATCAGCTCAGATCTCATTTTCCATTATAAACTGCCATTCATTTGTCATTTGCTGTTTCTAACCAGACGCCTTACTTCACATGTAACTAAGTAATGGCCTGACCATAACACTAGGTTGGCCTTCTGGAACAAAGTATAAGTGGGTCAATGTGATAGCTCAGATTACCAAATGTCTCCTAGGGGGCAGAAGTGCCCCTGGTTGAGAAACACTGACCTCTTGATTCAAGAGTAAGTCTTTTGTCTTTTTTTGATAATTAAGGTAGTTCCTTAGTTCTTAGTAGCTCCGTAGTTCCCAATTAGTTAGAACTCACTTCCTCACAGATAACATACATGAGTCTCTCAAAAGAATACTGCTCTATTACTACAATACTATAAAGTAAACCCTGTTTTAAGTAATTGTTCCTAAAATTTTTTTAGGATCTAGGTAATACTAGATACATTCTTAGTTAATAGGACCACCACCACCCACTTAAGTTGTTCAAGCTAGAAATTTAAAGTCATCTTTTATTCTTCCTTTTTCTTCATAAACTATACCAACAAATCCTTGAAGTCATCTCTATCATCTGTCTTCTGTCTAAATGAATCCCAGACCAAATCATCATTCTTCGCCTACATAACTGTAGGAATTCCTTTCTAGCTGGTCTTCCTGCTCTACGCTCCTCCTCCTCCAGTTATCTATTAACACTATTCTGTTCACAGAAGTTCTAGAACATAAATCTGATGGAGCCACCACCTTGCTTGTAAACCTTTGATGGCTGCTGATCACATACACGGGCCCAGGCCTGTGTTTTTCCTTCGTTAATTCCTCTCACTTGCCCAGTGCCACGACCCAGCAGAAACCGAAGCTGACGCACCGGAAGGGGGATAGCTGACAGAGACAAATTCCGAAGGAAGAGAACACGAAGGTGGACATCTCATTTTCTGAGCGTGAAGAAGGAATAAATGTGGACAATTTTCTAAGTGTTGGGTGCAAAGTTGAAAAAATATGCTAAGGTTCAAAAGTATCTTTGGAAAAACTGAAGGAGGAGAGTGAGGGAGCAAAATTATGTTATTCTCATCTCACAACTCTGCAATCGCACCGGTTTCCAAAGCTGAAAATAATCTCTTGTACTGTGCTACGTGTGCCAATTATGAGCATTTATTCTAACTTGTATTTCTTTGTCCAGATAATCATCTCCTATAGGGTTTTTTTTTTTTTTTTTTTTTTGAGACAGAGTCTCACTGTGTTGCCCGGGCTAGAGTGCTGTGGCGTCATCCTAGCTCACAGCAACCTCAGACTCCTGGGCTCAAGAGATCCTCCTGCCTCAGCCTCCTGAGTAGCTGGGACTACAGGCATGCGCCACCATGCCCGGCTAATTTTTTCTATATATTTTTAGTTGTCCAATTAATTTCTTTCTATTTTTAGTAGAGACGGGGTCTTGCTCTTGCTCAGGCTGGTCTCGAACTCCTGAGCTCAATCCGCCCGCCTCGGCCTCCCGGAGTGCTAGGATTACAGGCGTGAGCCACCGCGTCCGGCCTATTTTTACACAAGTAGCATTTTAAATGCTGCTTCTATAAAACTGGGCATCATAAAACAGCATTAATCAGACACTACTATTTTATAAGATGCTATCAAGATGTGACTTATTAAGTAAGAAATGTTGAAAATAATTTTAATCAAAATAATTTTTCTGGCAAAATTCTACATCTTGGAAACAAGACATCTTGCCAATTTTTTAAATTGTGTGCTTTTCAAAACAAAGAGAAACTCAAAATAAATTAAGAAAATGACTTTAAATGAATCGACAGTGTTTTGGTGCTCATCCTGCTGTCAAAAATGGGTATCTTTACACCCCCAAGTCACACACTCAGGCGACTTTATCTCAAACTAAAAAAGAGCTTCTGTACTTATGTTCAGCCTAAATTAAAAACTAACATGGCACCCAAAACAGACATACTTGGACTTTTTAATAAAATGTGAAGTTCTAGTGCTGAATTATAATATACTAACATGCTTTTCTAAAATAAAGAAGCGAATGACATGATATTTAAAGGTCCCTTTTATTCCATGTTTTCAATGTGAACTCATCAACTGCCTAAAAATAACAACATGTATTCATCACCATGTTTTTGATATTTGCTTAACTCAGGTTTATACTTTTGGATCTCCAACTCTACAAATTGTTTGAGGACTTTTAGTGTATCTGAAAATGAACACAGAATAATCAAGTAATTAAAAAAGGCAGCCACTTTGTCAGTTATTCAAAGGCTGAACTTCACATAAAACTATTCTTGATATCTAAGATTCTCATTTTAATATGACAATATAATTTAAGAATGTCAAAAGTACTTAAGCTGCCGGTTTTTCTAGAACATTCAACTCAATATTCCCAAACCTTGTACCTAGGCACCCAAAGGCACTGCAGCAACTCACAGGACTCCAAGGGATGTTTTAAATTTTCAAGAAAAACACAGTGATATGTGTCGCATACCTTATGAACTACTACTACTGCTAAGTTACATGGGGCACTGTGAAAAAATACTGAGACATATCAACTGAGAAAGTCTGGAACCTCTGCAATATTCAATCTTAAAGTAGGTTTTAAAAGTAACCTCTATTTTTTTTTAAATAGTGAAGAGCATGTCTCATATTAACCTGAGATATATTTGTCAACCTCTGAACTACAATTAAAAAGTAATTTACCAATCTAAAGGGGGAAAACCCCACTTAACACAAATGAACTTCTAAAATTATATTCATTATGATATTCACAGTACAGTACTAAAAGAATGAAAATATATCCCACCTCTTTGCGTAAAGGACCAATTACCACAGTTATTCAAACAGAGAATAATTTTGTAACTATTCTCTTTCATTCAGTTTTTTTTTAATAACAAACCTTTCCCAATTAGTTGTTTTGTTCATTAGCCAAGTGACCCATATTCCCTGACACATCTCAGTATAAATTGGTTCCATCCAGGGTGCCATTCTCATCTCAGAAATAAATAGGAAGTAACTGTATCTGCTTTGTCATGAAAGTCACAAAATCCTTAAGTCAGAGGGACCTTATGATAAGTTGATCCGTAAAAGAACTACTGAAAGAAGAGAGAAGAAAACAGAATTTCTAGAAAACAGAAAGCCCTGAGTCTGAGAGGGACAGAGTCAGAAGAAACTGACCTCCAGACCAAGTTCTGTTTCTAGCATTAATGACCTCGGGCTATTCAACTTGGATAGCTTTCCTCATTGGTAAAACAAAAGGACTACTGTAAAATTTGGATCTGTTTCAAAGCATCACTTAAGTCAGAAATAGATTCCCAAGATTACCCTGGTGATTCTATTCCAGCTCAGTAAACTGGGTTTGAAGATCACAATCTGTGCACAACCAGATTTGGGAACTGTGACAGACACTTTAAGTTGACTCACCCAAGACCCAGTCAATGTTATCTCTTTCTTTCTTGCCTGCCACTGCTATGGAGGCTACCAGGCTAAATATTCGTTTTCCAGCCTTCCCTAAAGCCAGGAATGATCTTTTAAAACAGCTATGGCAAGTGACACATAAAATGAAGTCTGCCAATGCCACCGTTCTATCCCCATCCCCTTTCCTCCCCCTTCTTTCTGCTTGTGACTGATTGATGTCTATAGGTAGAGAAGTATATTGTTTCTATAAACCAACAGGCCAAGGGTGGCAGAGCAGAAAGAGAAAGGACACCAAGATCATCTGGATCTACTGCATCCACCCAAACTTCGTGTTATATGAGAAAAATGCCCCTTTTTTGCTTAAACTACTATTTGTTGCTTGCAGTTGAAAGTGTTTCTACATGACATGGCAATGAATGAGTAGACGATCTCCAATGTACAGGTCAGATCTAATATTAAAATTCTAATTTTACATAATCTAATTGTCCAGGGAAGGATACCTTTCCAGAACATCCTTGACATATGGCTAACCAGACACTGATTTACAATAGAAAGACATCATTCAGGAAACTAACATAGATTCACCAATTCCCATTCTTTACGTATATTTTCATCCAGTTCAAGAGCAGATTCTGTTAGCTCAAGTTCTCAAACTAAATTGAGTATATCCTATAGAAACAGCACACTTAAATAAAATCACATATCTCACATACATAATTTTGAAATTAATAAGTTTAATCACATCTTGGTTTAGGAAGGTCAGAAAGGCTAATGATCAGGATATTCTTCATGCATCTTCCTTCTGCTTCCCCATCTTTGAGCCTACCTTACCAATTTGAGAATGAGAGAACAGCATTTATGTGTAAGAAACGTAATTTCTGGGCAAGTCACTAACAGGCTAGCTTAGGGAAACCCGTGTAGTATCGCAGGCCATTATTTTCTCTATACTGAGTGGGGCTCTGGCTGGAAAAATAACTGTCTCAAGGTTGAACTAGTATTAAAGAGAAAGTAATGGCCAACAAGGCACATCCTCAAACCAGACTCTTCCATTTTGCCCTATATCTAACTCATATTAAAGATAACTATTGCAAAGGCATAAAATACATCGTTAAATATTGACAGCGATCCCAATCATGGCAAGGAACCAGGCTAGCCAAGGCAGATGCGTAGGTGGCTAGTTGCAATGGGAATGAGTGAGGGGAAAGGGTTCAGGAATTCAGGATTGACAGTAAATAAAGCAAACACATTGCTAAAGTGAGCTGATTTCCAATTTTCGCATTAGGCAATATCATCTTTAACCTTCATGTAAATAATAACCTGACTGGAAAGGCACTTATCTTCAACCATGTTTTGGTGAACTTTCATTCAACCTACCAGTATTTGCTGGGTTGTTGTTGGCTGTAGCCAGGGATCCCGTGTGGTTTCGGACGAGATTGTCTTGGGTTGACGGAAGGCCTGCAGCTGACCACGACAGAGTGTTGTATCCTGAAAGACTCTGCTGCTGGTGGTGCTGTTGCGATGGTGGAGGTGGAAGTGGTGATGGATGGCTGATAGCTGTATTTTGACCAGAAAATGAATTATCTGTAACCGGCCTGACAGTCGGAGCATTCTGCGAGGTAAACATTTGCCCATATGGATCACCAGCAGGCAGGGAGGGATACGAAATGCTAGGATATGCAGCGTTAGAAACAGTTGACATAGCATAATGACCACAAGTAGAGGGAAATCCCTGAGAAGCAACAGAAGAGTTGGCAGAGTACATGGCTGGACTATTGTAGTGATTCACAAAAGAGGAGTGTGGCTGGGAGGCACTCGTATGCAAATGAGATGCTGATGACACAGCACCTTGGAAAGATCCTGGAGTGGATCCCACAATATGAGGGGCAGGAGGACCCCTGCCATACATCTGCTGTGCTCCTGGCTGTTGGTGTGCTGTGCTAGGAGTCACCACATTCTGTGCTGGAACTGTATAGAGACCAGAGTAGTAATCGTCATGCTGGGTATCCAATGGCAATGAGGTCATTTTCCCAGGTCCTTGAGAATAATGTCCTGAGGGAGCAATATAGTTCTGATGATGCAATCCATACCCAGATGGAACCTGCATTTGATTCTGTGCTGGTCCTGAAAAAGAAAGCAGTATTTACAGGGATGGGCAAAGATATAACTAATATTTAAACATAGTTCCCATCTAAATGGTGACCCAGCTAATTTTCTTCTCCATAATTTCAACTTATTACAGAAGACATACATTGTTACAGACCCATTGTGGTAGCCAGCCTCCAAGATGGCCCCAGGGATCCCCACCTCTTGTGTAGTCCTCCCTCACAATGTACCAGGGCTGGTCTGTGTGACCAACAGTATACAGCAGAGGTGATGATATATCACTTCCAAGATAAGCTCAGTCTTAGGCTCTGGCTGTCTTATCTCAGATCACTCAGTCTGGAAGAAGCAAGCTGCCAAGCTGTGAACAGTCCCACAGAGAAGCCCATGCACTCAGGAACTGAACTCTCTGGCCAAGAGCCAAAGAGAAACTGAAGCCTCCCAACACCCACATGAGTGAGCTTACAAGCAGATCCTTCAAACTCAGTAGAGTCTTGAAACAACTACAGCCCAACTAATGGCTTTACTACAAACTCATGAGAGACCCTGAGCCAGAATTACCCAGCTAAGCTAAGCATAGTACATTGATGCTTTGAGAAGTTCCGTTCTGGTGAGTTTAATCTTGAAAATGAGCCACATGGGCGACCTGAGACCAAGGTGGATAATGATGAGCTGAAAGCTGCAGTGGAAGCAAATCCATCTTAACCTATGCATCACATAGCAGCAAGGTTTGACGTTACTATTCCAACAATATTGGACCATTTGGAACAAACTGGCAAGGTAAAGAAGCTGAATAGATGGATTCCACATGAATTAAATGAGCACCAGAAGAGAAATCATCTGGAAGCCTGCCTTTCTTTGCTGTCACAACATAAAGGCAAACCATTTCTACGCCATATTGTTATATGTGATGAAAAATGGATTCTTTTTGACAATCACAAGTGTTGGGCACAATGGCTGGATAAAGATCAAGTGCCAAAACACAGTTCAAAACTGAATATTCATCAAAAAAAGCCAATGGTGTCTGTTTGGTGGTCTGGTGCTGGTATTATCCACTACAGCTTCATGAAACCTGGTCAGTCGATTATAGCGATGTATACTGCAACCAACTGGACACAATGATAAGGACGCTTGCGATTAAGCAGCCAAGATTGGTCAATAGGCCAATCCTCTTGCAAGACAATGGTCAACCATGTGTCACACAAATAACGCGGCTCAAACTACAGAGGCTGGACCTGGAAACTCTCTGTCATCCACCGTATTCACCAGACCTTGCACCAACTGACTATCACTTCTTCCAGGCTTTGGACCACTTCCTGCAAGAAAAAATTTCCTCAATTCTCAACATGGTGTGGAAAATGCCTTTTGTAATTTCATCACCACTTGCTCCCCAGGCTTCTTCGCTGCTGGCATAAACAAGCTACCATTGCGATGGCAAAACTGTGTCTTTAGATGCATACTTTGATTAATGGTACTGGTTCTTGTTTGAGATATAATAAACTACACTTCTGATTTTAAATCAGACATTTCATATTTAATGACCTAACAGATGATTCTAACAAATTATCTACTCTCTGGTACCAATCTGAATTGAGAAATAAACAAAAGATTTTTAGGAAATAGTCTATATATCTTTTCAGTGGAGCTGCTTAGCTGGTCAGTCTGCTGATACCACGTACCAGCTAGATAGAGCCTCTGATTTTCTATAAGCCTCTATGCTCTCCTCAGCAAGACTAAATCACCACAAGATCTACCCCAAAGAGGTATCCATCTCATGACATAATTTCCTTTCAGAGAGTAGATTTCAGAGACTAGGAAAACTGATTCTATTCCTGCTTTAAGCAAACCTGACATGAAAATCAAAATTTATAAAACAAGTATTTCATGGAATGTCTAGTCACTGTACAAAAAAAAAATCACAGGACCTCTAAATAAATGAGTTGCTTTAGGGCACATGAAATATGATTTGGCTTGAAAAATTTCAAAACCCTCTAACTGACTTTCCTTTATTCCATTTTCATTTCCCTCTAATTCATGACCAATGCAACCACACTCCTTCCCACACAATCTTCAGTGGCTCTCCTTTAGTTCAAACGAAGTCCAAACTTCTCAGGACGATCTCCAAGAACCTCCAGCAACAGCCTCAACATACCTTTAAAAACTACTCTTTCATTACTTTCTCTCCCTTGCACCACTCAAAGTACATTTTTAAAATTCCTTACCTTTGATTCATGCATTCTTACCTGACAATTCAAAGTCTGCTCATCATTTTAAATACAGCTGAAGTTCTACCTGCTCTTTTTCCTTAAGTTTCCCCTGCTACTTCAACCAAAAAGAACTGTTTGCTCTTCAGAACTCTTAGCACCGTTCTCACAGGGCCTTATGAAGGAAATAGATACTCAGTGCCTACATTCCTTTCTTCCTTTACTAGGGTGGAGACAACTCCTGGAGTGCAGAGAACGTTCATATTAGCATCCCCAGAGTATCGAGCACAAAACATTACACAAAGAGGAGCTAAATAAATACTTGCTACGAATTGTGAATTAAATTTATACACAACTGTCAGGATTACAAATACGCATAGCGTAAAATAAGGTCCATTTGCTTAAGATCAAAATGGATGGTACGAGAGATAACTGGAGGGACAAAGTCCTTAAGAGAGAGGGAACGGAATTCTGTACCCAAGTAATCTGTGGGTTTGTCTCAGATAAAGCAAGAAAAATAATATGCCGGAAGATTAACACACTCGGAAGTGGGAAGATTAGTACATTCTCTTCAGATTGCTTTCAATTTCTTAGTAAAATAAGAAGTAAGGTTATCAGTGGAGAGGGAGGTGAGAAGAGAGGATATTGAGGGTTTGAGGGAAAAGGGGAGGGTGCGATATCGAGAATGCAGTAGGAAAATAACCATAGGACAACTGGCACCAAGGGACCACATAAGGTATACTACCATAAATGTAAAGTAAAAGAGGCCTCAAGGGAAATAAACTATCAAAATAGGATTATTCCAACATTAAATAGCCATTTCACAGGGAAAAGTTTTACATAAAAAGGTTTCCAGCCCTAATATAAATATGCAAGATTGATAAGTAATATAAACATATAGCAAAACACAAAAATATAGCAAGACACCTGCATAAGACTATAATAGTGACAATTCCCACTACAACACAACTATGGTTTAAAAAGAAAAAAAAATGGAAGAGAAAGAGAGAAAACAGAAACAATAAGCTGTCTCCAATTCTACAAATCCTAAGATTTCCTTAATAGCATGGTCATCCCCCCATGACATAGAAGCAACATTTTTAATATCAAAAATGTTTCAAAAGTCTTTTCCTAAATCAAATTTTACAACTTATTTTCAAAAGTCAGATTAAAAATTTTCGTTATTTTAACACAAACATCAAAGTCAGCAGAGTACAAGTTCCTCAATCCCACTGAGATAAATTCACGCTAACTTTGACAGGGAGAATCAGATCTAAGAATGTAATTCATTCATCACTGAACTACCGAGAAGTAGGCTAATATCCAGCCAGTATGCACCCTAATAAACATTTTAACAATCATCTTTGTTAAAATATTTAATACTTCTGCACCAGTTGGTAAGTAGTCAGAGCTCTGGTCCCGCTCCCCTGTTTCACCCCTCCATGCTGGTCCCTGTCCCAGATCCCCAGACCTTCTCACGGTCCAACTGCTAGAGGACTTATGCCTGGCATAGTTAATACGCATGCATGCCTAAGGAGCGTGCAATTAGAAACCTTAATGACTTCAAAATCGGGGAGTCCCAGATCACATCTGGATACGCTGGATTACTCTAACACAAGGCTAATAGTTACAGAGCATTCAAAGCTCTGAAAGAAATGTTTCCTTGTATTGTTTCTCTCCTACCTTCCCTAAACTGCAAACATACTGACCGGGCTAGCTGTCCCAGTCACTGCTGGCAGACAAAGCCTACAGACACAGCCTATGTCACCATCTGGACTGAATCTC